ACACACACACACACACACACACACACACACACACACACACACACACACACACACGTATGCACACGTATGCACACACCTGCATACAAATGACCCACATCCAAACTGTCAGCAGGGGCAGGACACAATGTGGTTTATTATGAAGGTCTCGCTGTGGACATTTTTTGGGTTCCCAGCACATTGTTTTTCTATTAGCTTTCTTTATAGTGAGGGCCACATTGTTTTTCTATTAGCTTTCTTTATAGAGAGGGCCCTCATGCCTGGAGGGCTGTCCTTCAACTGAGGAGTAAGTACTTCCTGCTCAGAAAACCCCCAGTCAAGGCTGACAAGCTGGTCAGGGCTGGTCAGGGCTGGTCAGGGCTAGTCAGGGCTGGTCAGGGCTGGTCAGGGCTGGTCAGGGCTGGTCAGGGCTGGTCGGGGCTGGAGGGTACAGGCTCCAGAGAGTGTCTGGAGCCTGTTCCAAAGGAATGCACAGATGTGAAGATCCCAGGAGTAAAAGAGAAGAGGCGGGTGGACAGGGGTCAGAGCAGAAGATTCTCCCAGGAAGCAGCAGAAGTGGGGCAGGACTCAAAAATGAGCGGCTGGAAACATCCTCCACCTCTCCTTCCCCCTTCTCCTCCCTCCTTTTCATCCTCCTCTTCTTCCCTCCTCCCTCCTATTTTCAGCTTTCTTAGACGTCCTTGAGATGTGACCAGCAGGGACAGGGAAAGGCTAGAACCCTCCGAGAGATTCAGTAGGATCACTGCAGGAGAAAGGAAGTCTGCAGACTGGAACTACTGAGGCACCTCACCTTTTGGACTGAGTGACAACTGACCATCGCCTCCAGCAGTGAGAGACAGCTGCTCTGGGACTACTTCAACTCATAGAGGCACCCAGCCTCAAGGACCAAGCATGAGGTTCTCAGCATCTCAGGTGTGATTTGGCCATTACTGTTCTAAAGCCGTTATTACTATTTTAAAGCTCACTTAATAAATTCTGGTTATATATGTATATACATACATACATACATACATATACACACACGTATGTATGTATGTATGTATGTATGTATGTATGTATGTATGTATGTATTTTAATCCCTTGATTCTGTTCCTCCAGAGAATCCTGACTAAAACAACTCCCAACATTGGAAAAAGGGAGTTTATTTGTGGCTTTAGGAATTGTAGTTCAGATGTTGACTTTGGGGATACATATACTTAAAAAAAAAAAAGTAGGAATTACAATTCAGAGACATAGATGCAAGAATGACAGGGAGTGTGGAGTTTGGATTCTGAGAAGGAATAGTGGTTGCTTGACCAAGAGAAGATGGAGAAAAGGCATTAGCACAGAATGGACATGCCCACAGATCCAGAGCCCCACAAGCCCTGGCTCTGTATGAGTTTATTCAGTGTAGGTGAGCCAGATGCTGGGTTGTCACAGGTAGAGGGGACCAGAGCTAGGATTTTGTGGGTATCAGCCTAAGGACAGTCTCCCCACTGTACTTTGAAAAGCTCTTCCATTCTGCTGTCTTTGTGATTTCTACTCTTCTTCTCACATTCCTTAATGTCAGTCATATATTTGCTTTCTTTTGCGTGGTTGTAGTCCCAACATTTGTCTCCTCAAAATTCCTTTGCTGAAGGCCAAACCTTGAATGAGGTGGTCGTGGAGATGGGGTCTAGCAGGTATGTAGTGTTAGCTGAGGTGAAGATGGTAGGTGCCCACGCTTGGAACAACACCCCTCTAAGAAGGGAAAAGCCCCACTGCCACCACCACACACTGAGGGAAGGCGTGGCACAGAAGAGGCCGTCTGCAAACCATGGGCAGGGGCTTGCCAGAGCACCGTCATGCTGGCCTCCTGACCTGACACTCTCAGCCTTTAGAGCTGGAAAACTATAATTTTCTGTTACGCCGTCAGGTCCTGTATGTATTGTTGTGACAGTCCTTCGGACAGACACCAATACTGGCCCTGATGTTGTCAGGCCTCTATGAATCCTATGGAATGTGCACCACTGGCTGAGTCAAACAGCTACTCACACAAGCAAATTGCCCACTCTCGGATGCCATGAGACCCAGCGCAGGGAGGCAGTTCTCCACACTTGCCTGTCTGGCCTTGGGAAGTGGCCCTCCACTCTCACTGTCTGCACTTCACAAGCCTGACTTTCCTTGGCAGGGACAGCCAGCCTGGCCACGGGTGGGTGTGGCACTTGCCAAGGGCTGTGGCCTCAAGTGGCTTGCCCTTGGGCCTGATCCTTGTACCTGATCACTCCTCCCATGGATCACACCCTGCCTAAGGGTGAGAACACTTAAAGGAGGCCAAGCAAACCCTGCTGGCCTGGGGCTTTTTTCTCTTCTCTTCTTTTTCTTTCTTTCTCTTTTCCTTCCTTCCTTCCTTCCTTCCTTCCTTCCTTCCTTCCTTCCTTCCTTC